AATTCAAAGTAAGTCACAGTTCGACAAATTATTGTTTTTATTGATAAGGGTTATCCACCTGTAACTATCTGTTAGTGACAGAAAACACCATTGCCATTGTGCTCTGAGTGCCCCTGGATGGCCCTGATTCGATTATGTCCAATACTTGTTCCTCTGTGCCTGGAACCCGAACATTTATTACCGTCCATTACCTTCCTGGAACCACTCTCCTCGCCCTTTGTTGGCGTGAGTTCTTTCAGCTTCTGCAATGTCACGGTAGCATTTCCCCGGAACTAACCGCATATCCGCAAATTCGTGAAAGGAAATTCAAAGTAAGTCACAGTTTGATAAATTATTGTTATTATTGACAAAGGCTATCCACCTGTAACTATCTGTTAATAACAAAAAACATCATTGCCGCTGTGCCTTTTCATCAAAAAATTGCAGAAGAGAACTTTTTTGATATTAAAAATTTTCGTCATTTGAAGCAAAGATCGTAATTTTCTTTTTGAATGCTTAAGTATTCCAATATGCTACCAATTAAACATGGAACAATTTCAAAATAATGCTTAATAACTAAGTTGAAATTCGATCTTCAACTGTTAATATCTTCTAGAAATTTTCGAAAGAAAAATTTTCAATATTTTCCTCGTACTCTCCAAGTCAGGCTCTATCACCCCTTAAAAGGAATAACGCCAATTTTCAATCACCCTGTATTTCATAAAATCAGAAACTTTTTGCTAAATATATTCCACTATGATAATATTGAGCATCTGGGCGAGCTGATAATTGAAGTTATAAAATTTGCTGTATGCGCTGTATTGTCTTATGTCGTTCCGAATATTTCGGGAGATCTCCTTATAGTTTTTATTTCTTGAGATACTGGGTTGTTGAGATTTAATTCTCTTCGTTGCTCTATTAGTGCTCTGGTGTGGGGTCGGATTTGGTTCTCTTTTTCATGTTTAAGGCAGAGCTCGTTTGTTGCTTTCATTAGTACTTCTATTATTGTTTTATTTAGCTCGTTGATGTCTGCTGTATCCGTATTTTCAAGTGTTTTTGTTATAGTCATTTTGAACTTTGTTGGGTTTCTTCCTGCCATTTTCCCTTTATTTTGGTTTTTATCGTTCGCGCCCTTTCCTTCTTAATGTTTGTATTTACTAAAGCTCTCACCAGCCTGTGATCGCTGGCCATAAATAGAGGATTCAGCACTAAGATGTTGCGACACGATTTTTTGTCAGCTATGATGAAGTCATTTCATTCCTTGTTTTTTTTGTCCGGGCTTGTCCAAGTTCATCTTCTGTTTGGTTCTTTATGAAGGAAGCTGTTCATTAGGGGCATAAGTTGTTCTCCGAAATAAAGTTTACCAGACTTTCTCCGCGGTGGTTTTCGCTACCAATTCTGAATTTTTTTACAAACTTCTTTTTGGGTATTTCGCCTCAAGAATTTTTGTCTTAAAAAAAAGACAGAATTTCCTCACGTCTTTTATTACAGATTGATAAATAGTGCTCCTATTTCGCAATAAGAACGAATTATTTA